CTCTATGAGCTTACACACCACTCTGCAGGTAATTATCAGTTATTATTAACCTCTGTCTCTCTTCCACAGCCTGTTTTCCTTCTCTCACCCCAACCAGTCACTTCAGATGGCCCCGCCCCTCCCTGAGCCTGGTTCTGCTGGAAGTTTCTTCCTGTTAAAAGGGAGTTTTTCCTTCCCACTGTCGCCAAAGTGCTTGTTCATAGGGGTTATTTGATTGTTGGGTTATTCTTTGTATTATTGTTGGGCAGGGGTGTCCAACTCCAGTCCTCGAGAGCTGCTGTCCTGCAGCTTGCAGATGCATCCTTGTTCTGACACACTTGAATTAAATGAATGGCTTGTTACCAGGCCTTTGCCAACCTAATGGCATGCTGAAGAGGTAACCCAATCATTTGATTCAGCTGTGTTGGAGTTGAGATGCATCTAAAAGCAGGCCAGTAGCTCTCGAGGACAGGTGTTGGCAAACCCCTCCTGTAGGGTCTCTACTTTATAATATAAAGCACTCTGAGGAGACTGCTGTTATTTTTGTGCTCTATAAATAAAACTGAATGACTGTCCATAATGACTGATATGAAGATGACCAGTATTGGTTCCCTCAGCAAACTGGAGCTCGAGTGGCTCCTGTGACTCTGTGGTGAAGCGAACACTCATCCCTCTGACGTCATCTCTTTTATTTTTGGCTCTGTGGTGAAACACTGGAGCGGTTGTGAAATATTTTAGGACTTGTTTCCATTCAGCTCCATCTTTGTCACCCCAGATGTGCAGACTGACTCTGGGCTGATTGGAGCCTTTGTTTCAAGCCTCAGAGCTGCAGGAGGCCGTCGGGGCGGACGTTGGTAAAGCTCCTCAGATTGAGCTTTATTTGTGTTCGTGTCCGCTGACAGGAACTCCGCAGCGCCCCCCCTCCCCCCGCCTGCCTGTGTCTGCACCTCTGTAATCTCCCTCACTCTGTTTGTCTGAAATATCACCAACTATTCATCTGTCGGCTGTAATTTAGTTTGAAATGATAAGTCGCCTCTGCCCACTGAGGAGTTTCAGTTGAGCCTCTGAAATGTTGCTTAAACCTCTGGGGACGAACACACCAGCTGCAGCTTTAATGTGAGACACAGGAGCAAAGTTTGGGGAAGAACAAATCATCCCACTGCAAACCATCAGAGATCAGTGATTGTGTAACAGAGGGACTTCTGCAGGAGGTGTTATTTGTCCTGGCTCTGATTCTCCTTCCATCGTGCACGTTGGTACCAACCAGCAGCTCCTAAAGAAATCAGGGTCACGGTATGCTGTAACCAGCTGACCAATCAGAACAGCTGGAGCTTTTCAGATGTCGCCTTAAAGAGACAGGAGCTAAGATAAGAGATGGCCCCTGAGCGTGACCATTCAGGTTTATCTTCTAGGGCTGGGGGAAAAAATCGATACTGTGTAGTATCGTGATATTTTGTTTGCTAATAATGTATCGATACAGAGACAGCAGAAATCGATATTTTGTTACAAAAAGGTTTTTGTGCTATGACTTCATGTTGATCCTTTTCCTGAGCAAGAATCCTGACATTCCTTCACTGTCCAAATGTGACAGTTTACTTATTTTAATTTAAGACATGTTTTATTTTAATTAAGTTTAAAACTTTTTTATTTAATGTAAAATTATATTTTGTTTTAATTTACTTTCAAATTCTTCAGTTGCTGAAGGGGCTGCATAGTTTTCATAAACTGCATAGTTCAGAATAGCTATAATTGTACCAGATGGTTGATTCAGTTAAGTTGGACTAGACTGTAATACAAACCGTTCAGTTTGTCAACAATAAAACTGAAATGAGAGAAAGACTGAGTGTGAGACTTTGATATTAGATAAAATGAATATTGATAAAGTTTACCTTTATGTACAGAATCTGAATATTGCAAAATATTTTAAAAAATCGCAATAATATCGTATCGTGGGATGTATGGTGATTCCCACCTCTATTATCTTCTATGTCTGTACGCATGCGCAACAGAAAATACGCCCGAATTACAGTCATGTCCAAGATTTTGTGGCCATTTTTGCCTTTTGGACACCTGCATAGTGGATTTTTTATTTTTTAAATCAATTAAGATGTGACTGAAAACAGATTTTCACCTTTAAATTAAGCAGTTTAGTCCAAGTAGTGCTGGTAGCTGGTAGAAGCTTCATAATATTTCTGGTGGAAACCCCACTGTCAACTCTGTCACCATCTTAAAACCAGGACTCGCAACAAACACACAACATCCTCTATCTTGTTGTTGTTGTGATTGTTGCCATGCCAACTGCAGGCTGGCTATTACATCGTACAAACTCAGTGCAGATGCAAACCGATGAAAGTGGCGGTTGCAGGCGCGTGTCCTCACTTTCCCCACAGGTGTCGGGAATCGCTCCTGCGACGCTCTCTCCTGATTGTGCTGACGAGCAGCTTTTCTGGATGGCTCCGTCAGATTTAGAAATGTCACGCCGTCCGGTGAAATATTTCTCCAGCCGTTTAACGTCAGGCTGCAAAGGTGTTCGTCACAAGTTTCTATTAAGCCCCTGTTATTTCTGCAGGGCTGGCGTCACTGCAGCGCCGAGGGCGATGGAGGAAACGTGTCCCTCCACGCTCGTCCACCTGACGTCCGTCTGATGGACGGACGTCAACACAATCGTACACAATCTGTGCACGATTGTGTTTTGATAACATGCAAACATCCCTCGTCATTAAAGAGGCTCTTAACTGTCTGACGTGTAAACACTGAACTTCCTTGTTTTGGTTGGATGTCATAGCTGCCAGCTTAGCCAATCACACTTGTATAAAATCGATCAGTCAGTATTTGTGTACGAGCGGCTGCTGGTGACCGCGGGCCCATTCAGGAGTGATTTACGTTTATGTGGCTGTAGCGACGTACACCTCCCGTGACTTCCTCCCCCTGCGATAGGCTGCGTGTTTGTATTTATTTCTGTTTCATATCCTTTTTTTTTCCTTGCTTTGATTTGTGTTCCAGAGTCAGTTTCTCATGAACTCTTATAACCAGTTCTGTTTCTCTACTTTCACTCAAACCGTCTCCAGTTTATTTAGCTTCAGCATCAGATTGAGATTATTTCCCAGAGCTCTTGAGGAATAGAGGAGACGTCTCTGAGCACGATGCTGATACGTTTCTAATGTCCCAGACGGTGTTGACCTTTAAGGTCAGTACTCTGAGTGGACACACAAATCGCATTGCAACCAAAGATGTCTGACTGGTATATAAAAGATGCACGCAGCTCTCAGGTGCATGCGAGACCGAAGCACAAACGTCTTAGACGAGCTGTAACAGAAAGCAGAGTTATTGTCAGATAATTGTTCCTAAAACATGGTGTGGAGGTCCGGTGCAGAGGTGTAGCAGTTACAGCGGCACCATCAAAGCAGCCAAGCCCTTAAATTTAAGATTTAACCAAAACGGCTGTTTTAAAAATGTCCTGTTGTGATTAAAGTGGAAACTATGCATTTATTTTGTACCAGGCTATAAATATGCTTTTTAATGCTGAAGTTGGATTTTTTTGGAGTCTGTGGGGATTGACTCATTTTTGGTGCCAGTCTCGAGAGGCCTGAAGGCTCACACGTGGTTACGAGGCCGCCTGCAGGACAGGGGGCAGTGTTTCCACAACCTGCAGTGGTCCAGTCAGACTCTGAAAACCAGTAAAACCTGAACATATTAATTATGGTACTGCTGTAAGAAAAAAGCTGATAAGGCTCCATCTAATGGGAGATTAAAAAAAGTAGAAAGGAAGTCCTCTCCCGGCTCCCTAAAACAAGGTCAGAACACAGATTTATGGGGTCATTGGTGTCACCAAAGAGGACACGGGATTGGTTCAGCTTGTTTGTAATTAGGATTATGAAGCGATTTGCATGAAATTTTCTGAGAAGTCTGTCTTGGTTACATTGTAGCTGATTCAGAGCCAGATATTGACTTTGATCTTTAATTTTGTGTTACAGTTTCATAAATTCACAGAAGAAGGTAACGAAAAATTGTGAGACATCAGTTTGATGCTTTTTGACGCCATTTGCATCTGTCATGGAGGAAAATTTGAGCCTTGGTGGAGCTTTGCATACAGGTGGATGACAGTGTCGCTGACCAACCATGACCATGAAACTGAGCAGAGACTAGTGCAAGCTCACTCCTATAGACTGAGTGCTGTTTACAACTGAAACAGCAGTTACTGGCTAACACGGGCAGAATGTCAAGTTTCACACAGAAATTCCAAAAATTCCAAAGTGGGCTTAAAGGCAGAGCATGCAACTGAAACTGCAGGGGCTCACTCATTCGTTCTGGTTGTAAGATGCTTGTGGTTGGTGCACTGAGCAGTGGGAAAGGAGTCAGAAAACGCACATTTTAATTGAGCCTTTTAATGAGTGTGGTCTCCTGTGCTGTAGCTTCTTTGCGCCACCTGCTGTTTGTTTGATGAACTGCAGGTTTGTTTTCTGATTGCTCGTGTTTGTGTTGTGGTGGACCTGAGAGTCCTGATCTGACCTGACTCAAATTTCAGAAACCTGCACCACTCCTCCTGTATTAAAGAGATCTGTACGTGCACATCACCTGCACAGGTGTAGTCTGTGTTTAAGAGCAGTAAAGACGCTTAATGTTCATCTAAGTGGAAATCCGTCATTCCTGCTCAGCTCTCTGCAGAGATTCATTGTGTTTAAATGAAAGTAAAAGGAGTGTTTCAGAATTTTGTGCAATTGATGATATTTTGGTTTATATTCACTTAAACTGTTGTGTCATCAGAAATGAGCCTTTTCTTCTGAACGGCTACATTTCAAACATACCATTGATACTGAGAAAAACAGGAAATGGTTGTTTTTAGCCGCCGCCCCCCCCATCTCCATCCTCTGTTGAAGGGAAGCTTCGTAGGTTAAGTTAGGTTAAGTACTAAGTGCTGTGCTTAAAACTTGAAGTCAGGCTTGTGGCATTTCCACAGTATTGATGTTTTTATGTCACCACTGGTTATGAAGTGACTTCCTGCATCTGTCCTTGTGTTTCAGAGAAACTTTACAACTCCCAGGGTCCAGAACTCCGGCGGTCCCTCTTCTCTCTCAAACAGCTCTTCCAGGTAACACGCTCACCTGTCGGAACTTTACTTCTCGTTTAAGCACATCTCAGCTTACACTCATGTGAAATGGTTTTACTGTGTTTTCTGCACTATAAGGCACACTTAAAATCCTTTAATTTTCTCAAAAATCGACAGTGCGCCTTATAATCCGATGCACCTTATGTATGAATTCTGGTTGTGCGCTCAAAAATCTGTCATAAAATGTTTTGGTAAGACTTTGGTAAGCTATGAAGCTGCACTGCTTGATAGATTGTCAGAGCACTACGGCTACAGTAGTCAGGAGTCTCCCAGAGTAATCTGGGTCCTAAACTCCGTCCTTTCAGGTCCAAAACACTGCAGCCTCACTGAAAGGTAAAACCTGTGCAATTTCTTTTGTCTTTAATAAAATGATCAGCGTTGCTGCTTTACCAGGTGTAACAATTAAGTTTAACATCCAGGCATCCATGAAAACAGAATTTATTAAATTTAAC